CTGCTTTTGCTGCTGCTGCTTCTGCTGCTGCTGCTGCTGCTGCTGCTGCTGCTGCTGTCTGTTTTTCACTAGCTTTTGCCCCCCTAGTTTTTCCCAGCAGTGTGGTTGCTGCCCGCGTTCGCCCCGACCCCAACCAAACCCGCTGCTGCTGCTGCTGCTGCTGCTGCTGCTGCTGCTGCTGCTGCTGCAGCTTGGAGTCCTCGGGAGACAAGCAAAAGATCGCTTTGCTGCAGGAAGCTTTTGGGGCTGAAAGCATTTTTGCTCCGGCGTTGGGGGCGCGTCGGACTTTGCTGCTGTTCAGTGTGGGGTTTTTGCTGCTGCTGCTGCTGCTGCTGCTGCTGCTGGTGGTTTGCTTCCGGGCCTCGCACTACTTCGCGGGGGCCCTTGCTGCTGCTGCTTTCTGTCTTGTGTCTCTCTTTGGCTGCTGCTTCGCCTGGAGATATTTAAATCAAATTATTATTCAAAAAGCAGCAGCAAAAGCAGAAAGTGCTTTTAATGCTTTTCGGCCCAACTGCATTGTTGCTGCTGCTTACGGCGCTGCTCTGGCCCTCCAGATCGATACCCCCAAAGTCCCCATGGTCAGCTGCTGCTGCTGCTGCTGCTGCTGCTGCTGCTGCTGCTTCTGCTGCTGGTGTTGCACATGGCGCTGCTGCTGCTGCTGCTGCTGCTGCTGCTGCTGCACATGGTGCTGCTGCTGCACCTGCTGCTGCTGCTGCTGCTGCTGCACCTGCTGCTGCTGCTGCTGCACCTGCTGCTGCTGCTGCTGCTGCTGCTGCTGCTGCGCATGGAGCGTCGCAGTTTGTGTGTGGGGCGCGCGCAGGTGCTGCTGTGTCCGAGCCCGTTCTCTGCGTGGCGTTTGCTGCCGCAGCAGCAGCAGCAGCAGCAGCGGCGCTTTTCGCAGCAGCTGGGGGCCTGCCCCTACAGCGTGGTGGTCAGCAGCAGCAGAGGAGGCTCAGCAGCACTTGAAGAGTCGCTGCAGCTGCTGGAAGCAGCAAGACCTGGCAGGGCCAGACTGGAGGTGGTGGACGACGGGCTGGCTCTTGCTGCGCTCACTGCAGCAGACCTCAAGTCCGCGCTGCTGCTGCTGCTGCTGCTGCTGCTGCTGCTGCTGCTGCGGGTTGGGGGGTGGTTTTGCTGCTGCTGCTGCTGTTGCTGCTATTGGCGGGTGCTTGTGTTGCGGTTCGGGGTTGGGACGGGGGAGCGGGGAGGGTGCTGCTGCGGATGCTGCTGCTGCTGCTGCAGCTTGCTGCTGCTGCTGCTGCTGCTGCTGCTGCTGCTGCTGCTGCTGTTTATGGTGCTGCTGCTGTTTGTGGTGCTGCTGGTAGGAGCTGGGTGGAGGAAGCATTTTATAAGGGCTGGGAAATCATCAAAGAGGAAGTAGCAGCAGGCAGCAAACTCTACGACATTTCTTTGCTGCAGCCGCAGCAGCAGCAGCAGCAGCAGCAGCAGCTGCAGCAGCAGCAGCCGGATGTTTAGGCGGTCCCAGACGACGCTGCTGCTGCTGGAAGCAGCAGCAGCAGCAGCAGCAGGTCGCAGGCTGTCCCAATCGACGCAAAGCCATCGAATAAATAAAATAAAAACAAAAATAAAAACAAATTGAAAATAAATCAAAACAATTAAAAACAAATTATGCTGCTGGCAGCAAAACAAATGTGTTATTTGACAAACGCAAAAGAGGCGCCGAGCGCCTCCCACAAGAAACAAAACACTGACGCTGGCTAGCTAGCCACACAGCTAGCTAGCCAGCTAGCTAGCTAGCCAGCTAGCCAGCTAGCCAGCTAGCTAGGTAGCTAGCTGGCTAGCTAGCTAGCCAGCTAGCGGCAGCAGAGCAGCAGCTGCTTTTGGGGGGCTTTTGGCGGCCCTCTTTTAGAGGCTCGAAGCCCTTCGTTGAAGCCGCCCCCGAGCTGCCTCGCTAGCTAGCTAGCTAGCTAGCTGGCTAGCTAGCTAGCTAGCTGGCTAGCTAGCTAGCTAGCTGGCTAGCTAGCTAGCTAGCTAGCTAGCTAGGGGCAGCAGCCAGCTAGCCTGCAGCAATGGTTGTTAAGTGTTCCGACTATGGAGTGGAGGCGTCCGGATTTGCTGTTGTTGCTGCTGCCGTTGCTGCTGCTGCTGCTGCTGCTGCTGCTGTCGCTGCTGCTGCTGCTGCTGCAGCTGTTTAGGCGCCGAGGCGCGTAGCTGTCTGTAGAGCTGATTGACTTCGGCTCACACGGGTTTAGGGTTTAGGGTTTAGGGTTTAGGGTTTAGGGTTTTGTTGTATAGTTCTGTAAACTGAATGAGGTGTAAAGGTACCGCCACAGATGCAGGAGGCGCATGTTTGCTGCTGCTGCTGCTGCTGCTGCTGCTGCAGCGAACTGCTGCAGCAGCAGCGACGCTTCCCTGTTGCTGCTGCTGCTGCAGATCCAGAAGATCTGCGTAGTTACTGCTGCAGCAGAGGCAGCAGATACGTGTCGCTGCAGCAGCAGCAGCAGCAGCTGCTGCTGCTGCTGCTGCCCCCCTAAACGCCTTTCGAGAAAGGATATATTTTAAAGAGAACCCCAGTGGTTCACCTTCAAGGGTTTAGGGTTTAGGGTTTAGGGTTTTGGTCTATATTGAGATATAGGGTTTAGAAATTAGGGTTTGGGGTCTAGGGTTTAGATCTAATTTAGAGCAAAAGTACAGATCCACAGAGGGGCCCCCATAGCCTCAACCTGTGGTGTCTTGGGATAAACCCTAAACCCTAAACCCTAAACCCTAAACCCTAAACCTTCATTTTCTTCATGTGAGGAGGCCTTAAAACTTGAACCGGATGATATAAGCCCTCAACTAAAACCCTAAACCCTAAACCCTAAACCCTAGGAAATGTAGAGCAGCTGGGGGCCCCCACTAGGGGGCCCCCGGCTTTGGGGGCCCCCGGTGCTGGTTTGCTGCGGTTCCTTCTTATTTTCACAAATAAAAAAGACAATAAAATATATTTAATTAATTTGCATTGCTTTTTAAAGAGAAGGGGCCCTGTTTGGTGCTGCTGCTGCTGCTGTTGCGGCGGCGGCAGCTGCAGCAGCGGCAGCGCAAGCAGCAGCAGCAGCAGCAGCAGCAGCAGCAGAAGCAGCGCAAGCAGCAGCAGCAGCAAAGTGTACAACAAGACCACGGGAAGCTGCGCCAGCAGCACCAGCAGCAGCCACGAAGTCAGCTGCAGCTTAAGAAGCAGCAGCAGCATCAACGCAGCAGCAGCAGCAGCAACAGCAGCAGCAGCAGCAGCAGCAACAGCAGCAGCAGCAGCAGCAGCAGCAATGGTGTTTTACGAACTGCACATGCTGCTGTCGCGGCGTGTGGGGCGGGCGGAGCTGCTGCACCTGCTGCAGCAGCAGCAGCAAATCATCGAGAAGCATTACGGCAGTCTTTTGGAAGTGCGGGACCTGGGTTTTAGAGAAACCGCATTCAGGTGCTGCTGCTGCTGCTGCTGCTGCTGCTGTTGCTGCTGCTGCTGCTGCTGCTGTTTCCGCTGCCGTTGCTGCTGCTGCTTAGGACGACGTTGGCTCTCGCTGCTGCTGCTGCTGCATGCTGCTGCTCTCTCGCTGCTGCCGCGCGCTTGCTGCTGCTGAGCCCGTTCCCGCTCTCGTCGCTGCTAACCCCTGCTGCTGCTGCTGCTGTTGCTGCTGCTGCTGCTGCTGCTGCTGCTGCTGCTGCAGGATAAAGAAGCCCCGCGAGTCTCCTGCATATTTTGGGCGCCTCATCGCCGTCGCCTTCGGGGCGAAGCCAACAGCAGTTCCGGAAATTGACGCCGCGCTGCAGGTCTGCTGCTGCTGCTGCTGCTGCTGCTGCTGCTGCTGCTGCTACTTTTGCTGCTGCTGCTGCTAGTGGTTTTGTTGCTGGTGCTCTGCTGTGCTGGTTTCGTTGCTGCTGCTGTGTTTGTTCTTGCTGCTGCAGTGCCGCCGTTGTTGCCTTTTGTCCTGTGTTTGGTGTTGCTGCTGCTGCTGCTGCTGCTGCGTTTGTTGTCGTTGCTGCTGCCATGTTTGCTGCTGCTGCCGCTGCTATTTCTTGCTTCTGCTGCTGCTGCTGCTGCTACCGCTGTTGCTCCTTGCTGCTGCTCCTGCTGCTGCTGTTTCGCCGCTGCTCCCATAGACATAACCTAAAATGCGACTGCTGCTGCTGTGCTGCTGCTGCTGCTGCTGCTGCTGCTGCTGCTGCTGCAGGCAACAGGAGGAGTGCTGCGGCACACGACGCAGAAGCTGCGCTACCGCAGCAACTTCTTAACTTACAACTGCTACAAGCACCGCCCAGAGCCGCAATAGCTGCTGCTGCTGCTGCTGCTGTTGCTGCTGCTGCTGCTGCTGTTGCTGCTGCGCAGAGGCCCCTTTTGAAGGCTACAGAAACTGCCTTTTGCTTTGCGTCCCACAGCTAGCCGGGGGCCAGCCGCTGCTGCTGCTGCTGCTGCTGCTGCTGCTGCTGCTGCTGCGGCGCAGCTAGCTGGACTGCAGCAGGCAGCCGCTGAGTAGCTAGCCGCAGCTCCCCAAGTTCAGACCAAATTTAAGTCAATTTGACCCAGCTAGCTTATTGACTAGCTAGCTAGATAGCCAACTAGCTAGCTAGCTAGCCAGCTAGCTAGCCAGCTAGCTAGCTAGCCAGGAGGCTAGCTAGCCGCGTACCTAGCAAGTCGGCCAGCGAGCTAAGTAGCTAGCTGCCCAGCTATGTGGCTAGCCAGCCAACTATCCAGCTAGCTATCTGGCCAGCTGGCCAGCTAGCTAGCTAGCTAGCTAGCCAGGTGGCTAGCTAGCAAACTGCCTACCTGCCCAGCTAGCTAGCTAGCTGCCTGGCCAGCTGTGCTCTGGACCTGCTCCACTGCGCGGACCTTCTGGGCTTTCTGCAGCAGGAGCAGCTAAATAACTGACCGCAGCTAGCTAGCTAGCTAGCTAGCCGGCTAGCTAGCTGGCTAGCTAGCTGGCTGGCTGGCTAGCTAGCTAGCTGGCTAGCTAGCTGGCTAGCTAGCCAGGACTGGCGTATCGGTGCAATACCTTTAGTTGCTCGTACTACCTCACGGTTAAACACGGGCGCAGCAGCAGCAGCCACAGCAGCAGCAACAGCAGCAGCAGCTGCTGCTGCTGCTGCTGGAGGCTGTCCCCCGCCGCCTGTAGAGCGGGGCCCCCGCTGCTGCTGCAGCAGCTAGCTAGAGCAGCAGCTGTGGGCAACTAATGGCTATGGCTAGCTAGCTGCCTCTCTAGGCCCCAGGCAGCACAGCTAGCTGTGAGCGAAGCCCCAGCTAGCCACCAGCAGCAGCTAGCCACCAGCAGCAGCTAGCCATCAGCAACAGCTAGCCAACAGCAGCAGCTAGCCACCAGCAGCAGCTTGCCACAAAGAGCAGCACTAGCCGCAGAAGCTAGATCCGGGCAGCAGCAGCTAGCTAGCTGCTGCTAGCGATTTGCTGCAAGCCAGCTGCTGCTAGCTAGCTGCTGCTAGCTAGCTCCTGCCAGCTAGCTAGCTGCTGCTAGCTAGCTAGCTGCTGCTAGCTAGCTAGCTGCTGCTAGCTAGCTAGCTGCTGCTAGCTAGCTGCTGCTAGCTAGCTCCTGCCAGCTAGCTAGCTGCTGCTTGCTAGCTAGCTGCTGCTAGCTAGCTGCTGCTAGCTAGCTGCTGCTAGCATTTTGGTGTAGAAGCAGTTGCCGTCTAGGGCCTCGAGCAGCAGCGCGAGCCGCTGCGCTACCTGTGGGCACGCGCTGGAGCAGTGCAGCAGCAGCAGCTGCTGCTGCTGCTGCTGCTCGCTGCTGCAGCTGCTGCTGTAGCACTCCTCGGCGATGCGCGCAGCAGCTGCTGCTGCTCTCCGCTGCAGCTGCAGCTCCGCCTCGCTGCTGCCAGGCAGCACTGCAGCAGCAGCAGCAGCAGCAGCTCGTGCCACGGCTATAACAGCAAGAGCAGCACGACGCGTGTTGAAGCGCACAGCTGCAGCACAGCAGCAGCAGCAGCAGCAGCAGCAGCAGCAGCAGCACAGCAGCAGCAGCAGCAGCAAAAAAAGCGGCTTGAGGCCCCACAGTCGGTTCTCCAGCTCAAGCAAGCAGCAGCCACTGCTGATGGCAGCAGCAGCAGCAGCAGCAGCAGCAGCAGCAGCAGCAGCAGCAGCTCGCGATTACCTTCTACAGATTGAGTGTATTTCCTGATTGCGGCTGTGGCATCTGGGCCCAGTCTCTCTAGTTGCTGCAGCATTTGCTGCTGCTGCTGCTGCTGCTCCGCGCTGCTGCTGCTGCCTTTGCTGCTGCTGCCGCGGCACTCGGTGAAGCGGCTTATTCTTGGGGTCGGCGGCGGCCAGAACGCGTCGCCCTGCTGCTGCTGCTGCTGCTGCTGCTGCTGCTGCTGCTGCTGCTGCAGTGGCGCCGGGACTGAGAAGTCGAGCAGCAAGGGGTCGTTCTGCTGCAGCAACAGCAGCGGCTGCTGCTGCAGCCCCGCTGCAGCTGTGGCTAGCCGCAGCAGCTGCAGCAGCTGCAGCGGCGCCCGCAGCAGCGTGAGGACATGCGGTGCTGCTGCTACATTGGCAGCAAAGCTGAGTGGCGATGATGGAATGACGCCTGCTGCTGCTGCTGCTGCTGCTGCTTCCTCCGCTGCAGCAGCAGCTGCACCGCAGGCCCGACGCGCTGCTGCAGCCGTCTCCGCTGCTGCTGCTGCGTCGGACTCAGCTGCTGCTGCTGCAGCAGGGGACAGCGGCACTAGCAGCACTGCGAGCAGCAGCAGCAAGTGCTGCAGGTGATGTGCAGCAAGCTCGTCCGTGCTGCAGCAGCGCAGCAGCAGCAGCAGCAGCGGCTGCTCCGTGCTGTACAGACACTGCCCCACATAGAGCTTCAGTGCATGCAGCAGGTGCAGCAGCTCTTGTCTTGCTGCCAGCAGCACCCCATAGAAGCGAAACACCGCGTCGCAGCCGCTGCTGCTGCTGCTGCTGCTGCTGCTGCTGCTGCTGCTGCTTCTGCGTTGGCGCTGCTGCTTGAAGGCAGCAGCAAACACAGGAGACACCTGCAGCAGGTGCTCTGCTGCCAGCACCGCTCGCTGCAGCTCTAAATTGTAGGCCAAGACAGCAGCAGCAGCAGCAAGAGCAGCAGCAGGCACAACGGAGGGGCCCCTCACGCGCGGGCCCTTTTGCTTCACCTGCAGCAGCAGCAGCAGCAGCAGCAGCAGCAGCAGCAGCAAGGTCCAACTCAATCACAAAAGAAGCAGCAGCAAGGCGGGCTCCCGCCGCCCAAACAGCTCCATCGACGCAAAGCAGCAGCACGCCCAGCAGCAGCAGCAGCAGCAGTAGCAGCAGCAGCAGCACGCCCAGCAGCAGCAGCAGCAGCAGCAGCAGGCGGACCTGCATGCAGGCAAAGGCCAAGGACTTTTGCTGCTGCGCCTTCAAGATAAAAGGAGTCTCTTCCAAAGAGACAAACAAAAGTTGAAAAGCTTTTTGCTGCCGCTGCAGCGAGAAGAGGTCTCCGTAGACTGCAGCACGGCCCAGCTCCACCCGCCGCGCCAAGCTGCTGCTGCTGCTGCTGCTGCTGCTGCTGCTGCTGCTGCTGTTGCTGCTGCTGCTGCTGTCGGGGCCGCCAGGCAAGGCAGTCGCTGCCCTTAAGGCAGCGCGCATGCGCGCATGCAGCTGCCAGGCTATGCTCCCAGTGCTGAGGTCAGGTGCTGCTGCTGCTGCTCGTTTTGCTGCTGCTGCTGCTGCTGCTGCTGCTGCTGCTGCTGCTGTTGCTGTGGGCTGTGCTGCATTGGAAGTGCTGAGCAGTTGTGGCAACTGGAGGTCCGACGCCGGGCTATTCTCTAGCTGTAGCAGCAGCTGCTGTTGCTGCTGCAGCCCTCTGCTGCTGCTGCTGCTGCTGCTGCTGCTGTTGAAGGCCTCCTGCAGCAAATTGTTCAGCAGCAAAGGGTCCGCGTGGGCAAGAGGCGCATCTGCCCGCTCAAACAGCAGCCGCAAAACTGGCAGCAGCAGCGGCTCGTCCTGCATGCATGCAGCACAGCCCCAAGTAAACGAACTGCAGCAGCAGCAGCAGCAGCAGCAGCAGCAGCAGCAGTGGCAGCAATAGCATTGCTGCAGCGAGGAAGGCCGCCGCAGCAACCGGAGCAGCAGCAGCAGCAAAATCCGGCGCCGCGAGAAACAGCAGCAATAGCAGCATCAGAAGCAGCAGCAGCATATGCATTGGCCGCAGCAATAGCAGCAGCAGCAGCAGCAGAACCGGCAGCAGCAACAGCAGCAGCAGCAGCAGCACCTGCAGAGAGAAAAGAGCGCGAAGAGCAGCAATTCTCTCCAAGGCCAGGCCCTGCTGCAGCGTCTCCAGCAGCAGCAGCTGCTGCCCGCAAATTCGGAGCTGCTGCAGCGGGTGCAGCAGCAGCTGCTGCAGCCGGAACGTCGTAGGCAGCAACTCCTTTTGCTGCTGCTGCTGCTGCTGCTGCTGCTGCTGCTGCTGCTCGGGGCGGGGCTCTGCTTCTGCTGCAAACTCCAGCTTGTAGCTGTCATCGATGTCTGGCTCGCTGCCGCTGCTGCTGCTGCTGCTGCTGCTGCTGTTGCTGCTGAGGCAGGTTGCGCTGCTGCAAGTGGAAATGGCGGATGTGGGGAGCAGCGCAAGCTCAGTGCCTGCTGCTGCTGCTGCTGCGTGCTGCTGCTGCTGCTGCTGCAGTTTGCTGCAGGGCAGAGACCGCCAACCCCGCAGGTGCTCATCCACCTGCTGCAGAAAATCTGTGAGCAGCACCACATCACTGCTGCTGCTGCTGCTGCTGCTGCAGGAACTGCTGCTGCTGCTGCGTGCAGCAGCTGCTGTTTGCTGCAGCTGCTGCTGCTGCAGCAACTCGGCCTGCGCCAGCTCCAGCAGTTCAGCAGTTATCTGGAGGCCGAAAACTCCTTCTCCTGCTGCTCCTGCTGCTGCTGCTGCTCCCGCTGCTGCTGCTGCAGTTTCGGGGCACTGCTGCAGCAGCTGCTGGAGCTCTTGCTGCTGCTGCTGCTGAGCAGCCCAGCCCACACCTGCAGACAGAGCTGCTGCACCCTCGCGCATTGCTGCTGCTGCTGCAACGTAGCTGCCTGTTGCTGCTGCGTCACTTAAGCACTGCCGGAGAACGCTCCACCAACAGCTGCTGCTGCTGCTGCTGCTGCTGCTGCTGCTGGGGGCCCCGGAAGGTCCTGGTCCTGCAGCAGCAGCAGGCGCATCGCAGCAGAACTGCTGCTGCGTTGCTGCGGTGCTGCCGCAGCACAGCAGCAAACCGATGTGCTGCAGCAGCGGCTGCGCAGCAAAAGACAACAGAAACCGCAGCAGCCGCTGCAGCAGCAAATCTCCCCGCAGCTCAGCTGCCTGCAGTCGCTGCAGCAGCTGCTGCAGCAGGGCGCCCGTTAGGGCTGAAGCACTAGGGACCCCTCTGCCGCTGCTGCTGCTGCTGCTGCTGCTGCTGCTGCTGCTGCTGCAGCTTGTTGCTGCATGCAACGCTGTCTCCAAAACAAGTGCTGTCTCCTCCCAGCAGCGAAGCCCATCGCGCAGCTGCTGCTGCAGCCACAGGAGCGTCACTGGCCGCGCAGCAGCAGCGGGGGGCCCTGCTGCTGCTGCTGCTGCTGCTGCTGCTGCTGCTGCTGCTGCTGCTGCTGTGTGCAGAGTGAAGGGCAGCGGCGGGAGCGGCCCCGCTGCTGCTGCTGCTGTTGCTGCTGCTGATGGCCGCAAGTCGCCTGCGTACGGCACTTCCCACTCCTGCTGCAGCTGCTGCAGCTGCTGCAGCCGCAGCAGCAGCAACTGCGCATCCCACTGCTGCTGCAGCAGCCGAACCCCAAACAGAAAAGCCTCAATGCAGCAGCCCCAGGGCCCCTCTCTTTGCTGCTGCTGCTGCTGCTGCTGCTGCTGCACCCACGCCCCGCCACTTAAGCTCGCCGACCACTGCTGCTCCGTTTGCTGCTGCTGCTGCAGCAGATCCACAAGAGACTGGGGCATCAAGTCGTGCTGCTGCTGCTCTGCTGCTGCAGCGGCTGCCGCTGCTGCAGTTGCTGCTGCATGCGTTGTGACTGCTACGGGGGATGCTTCACGGGGTAAGCGGGAGTGCA